ACATCAGCCGGCTTCACACTGAGGCTGAGGCGGGATCTGCACCAGAGCCCGGGCGGCTCTGATGCTGAGCTTTGACCTCCACAGTCTATTTTGTTTTTCTGAGATACCAACATCCAAATGAAAGCAAAAGCAGTCCCTATTCAATCTTGTAGAATTTCTAGTGCTGTAAACATTGCTTTTCATTGATTTTCATCACAAATAAATAGCACTTTTGCCTACCTATAAGTTGGTTATAAAAGCATTTATAAGTCTGGGACTTGGAGATCTGACCACATCTTATTAACTCTGTTTCTATTGGAACAGATAGTCCAAGCACCAAGGAACCATTAGTGTTGGGTTTCAGAGTCCGGCACACCTGGGAACAAAGGGCTTCCTGTGTAGTTAGGCAGCTAGATGTGTTCACCAGTGGATCCAGTGCAGTTTTACCCAACCACAGGCTGAGGACAGTGTTCTCATCCCTAGAAATTCAACCCAATGATATAGATTCCTTTTCTCCTGTGTTATTAAATTTACCCTCTGGCATTAAATAAAAGCATCTCAAGATCACTTGTTTCTAATAAGCAGATATTAAATAGGGTTTGAAAGGACAATAGAACAAAGTTAACCTAATAGCTGCAAACATCAAGGTTAAATCGCACGTCTAGGCAGATTTAAAATGTCCAGTAAAAACACATGAGACCAGCAAACAGGTGCTGGGCTTGGTAGACTCCTGTGTAAACACTTGACAAGGCCGTACTGCAGCCTTGCTTCATACCACCAGAGGCTGACCCACTACAGTCTTGGATAATATGCCCGAGTCACCTATTTCAAACACTCGAAGGCCTGGGTGGCTCAAAGGCTTAACTTCGTGGTCCTGTGGTATTGACTCCAGGAGCTGGACCGGACTGGGAAAGACAACAGCAAAAGTACACAGCTTTTCAAGTTTTCAAATTTAACAGGACCCGTGTCCAACCTGAGGCCGTGGGCCACATGCAGCCCAGGATGGCTGGGAATGCGGCCCAACACAAACTTGTAAATTTACTTAAAACATTACGAGGCTTCTTTTTGTGATTGTCGAAATGTATTTAATGTGTGGCCCAAGACAACTCTTCTCCCAGTGTGGCCCAGAGATGCCAAAGGCTGGACACCCGTGTTTAAAACAAAGTGGTATAACTGAGTCAAACCAGCAAGTCTGCCTTTCAGAACAGGAAACCTCGCAGGTGAACAGTGATGTTCCCGTCACAAACCTTTTGGTGATAAAAAATAAAAATAAACAAACGCAGGCACAAGCGCCTGTACAAAAATGGTTGAACTTTTTAGAAGGTTTAAAGCACTCTAACATAGCCATGCCTAAGGTTTTTCCAGGGACCGATGTTTTTTCTCTTAAGAAAATCCTAATGTAACAAGCTGTTTCAAAAGTAAATACCTACTGTCCACAAGGAAAACTACTAGATTTGTTTTGTATGTTTACTACCTTAAAATGTAAGACATTTCCTAGAAAGCGAAAACGATAAGACGGAGCCTTGAGTAGGTAGACAGGTTGGTTAGAGCATTGTCCTGACACGCTGAGGTTGAGGGTTCAGTCCCAGTCGGGACCCAGGCAGGAGTCCACCGGTGAGTGCAGAGATGCCTGGAACAACGAATTCTCATTCTCTCCTTCTCTCTCCCCCACCCCGCCTTTCCTCTTTCTCTCTAAAATCAATAACTAAACAATAAAATAAAAATAAACATTACCTTAAAAAATTATAAGACTGAAACAAGTAGAGACTCTGACAAGCAGCAAAACAAAACTAGGAAGCAGTATCCATGCTGAACTATTAAAAACAAATTACAGAGACAAAGTTAAGCTGTTGACCTACAGAAGCTGAGAGTCGGACCTACTAAAGGGGAAGCAGGACCAGGAGGAGGACAGGAAGTGTCGTGCCAGTGAGGTTCATGGTCACGCATGGCCTGCAGACTTTTTGTTCGGCTTGCAGAGTGTTAGCACACCTTGTTTGAAAGCTGGTCAAACATATGGGCCCCACACACTGCTCAACAGCAGGACGCCCAGTTCACCCTCCACCACGACCTGGGGCCCTGCTGGCTGCTAATGACTGACCAACAGAACTGCTGGCTCTCTCCTTGCCAACCTTCCCAGGGACAAAATTATGTTAACAGCTAGCAGTGATAAATTCACTGAGCAATTCCACAGAGCCAGGCACCATTCTTAGCTCCTGGCCTGTATTAACCCATTTAGTCCTCAAATAAGTCTATAAAAAAGGGTTCTGGTACTATTCTCAGGTGAGAAAACGGAAGCAGAGAAAATGAAGCAACCTGCCCAGGTTACACCGTGAGTGTGCCTGTAGAATTTATAGGTAACCCATGAAGCTACGCTAGTTTCTCTCTGAATTTAAACAACCTGAATCTAAGTTTCCCATAGCATACCTCCAAAAGCTTTAGCTCTCTATCCACTCGGGTAAGAATTTCCTTAAAGAACAGATCAAACTACTTCATGATACATAAGCACTGTGCCACTTATAAATACGAAAAATCTCTGAATGTCTTATATCCATCAAACATTTAAACAACAAATTAAGACACCATTTGCAGTATATATTGCCTATTCTGGAACAAAATTCTCACATTTGTTTGCCTATTCTATTTCTCTGGAATTAATCCAGAATAAAATACCTGTAGCAATGTTTTCTAAGGAATTCTTTATCAGCTGGCAGCCCTCATGCATCAGAAGAAGCTGAGAGTTTTCTTTATCCTGGAAATTCTGGCTGTGTGAACACTACTAGAAGGGTACAAGATTTAAGCCATTGACTCAAGTTCATAAAATAAGTCACATTTTAAAAACTGCAGGAAATACAAATACTCCACCCCAGACCTTCCCCCTGCCCCCAGCAGAAGGAAATATAATTTGGTCCTATGTATTGAAATAACCAAATTATAAGAAAACCGATCCTGACTGTTTCTGGAAAAGGTCAAATTAGCTTAATAGCAAAGACAAGCATTCAATAGCATAGACATGAATGATTTGGTATGCGAATAAGGAGAAGTAGCCAAATGGTTAGACTACAGAAAAAAAGCAGGAGGAGAAAAATACAAATAATAATATCCAGGGACTGAACGCATATGCTGGGAAAGTTCATTAAAAATATTTACCACTTGGATCAGAGAGAAATAACTTTTATCATACGTCTAATAACGCAGCAAAAGGGAATTTTTAAATGTAAATTACACTGAAATTTATATCGATGGATATAACATAAAAGAGCTGAAGGCCCGGAGGAAGGGCATAAAACACAGCACAAAAATTGGACATATCTGCCCCAGTCCCGGGATGAAGGAGTCACGAACCAGCGGAAAGGTCAGATGCACCAGGCCTGGAACCTCCGCGAGGAAGGGGGCCAGGTCAGAGGAAGGTGAAACGAGGGCCCATCCACTCTGCCTCCCATGGAGGCAAAACTGCATGGTATTTCTCACCGTTCAACCTCCTCCCCCCGCTTTTCTAAAACTACCAAATGTCGGAAGAGAATTGAAATCGGCTGAAAAATATTAGTTGGGTACATTTGAAATAAAGGCTGATTAGTTGGTCCAAAGGTTGTGGGTTGTTGTTAAGCTGAAATAAAGGCTAATTCCATTCTCCCTTTTTCCATTTTCTCTTTGAGGAAACCAAGGCAGTGTGAAATAACTTGCCTGGGGACCCAGGTCCCCTGGGTGATACCATCTGAGAAAAGAAGGTCCCTGCCCGATAAAAAAGTGTCTCTCATAAATCTGGTTACCTACCATCTCTGTTACTGGTTTTTCTAAAGCTTGTTACTACAGAAAAACAAAGGTGTCCCTCCCTGATGTTTAGCACTCACATCACAATGCGAATTTAGGGGAATAACTTAAGTCTTTCATCTGCTAAGCTTTTCCCAATCCCTTAAGAGAGAGAGACAGACAGACACACAGACTCCACTTAAAACGGTATCAGATTGACCTTCCTAAGGGCAGAGCTATGAAAGGTGCAAACCGCTCCCTAGACTGGGGAGCCCTCCAGACAGTGAAGAGATGCAGGAGAAAAGCTTTGATTTGGCGCTCCCCTTAGATAGAAATACTTTCGTCTTCTGCCAAGGGCTCCTTCTAAAAGAAAGCTCATAAATATGAAAGGCTGCCTAAGGTAATTCCTACACCTGGAAAAAAATTAAGTTCCCATCATAACACCTTCTTCCAGTCCCAAATCTCTGAGCATTGGACTTCTCCAACCTGTGACTAACCACGGGCCGGGCCAGGTCGCCGCCTCTGGGGAATAATGGTCTTTTGTTAAAGACAGTGGCAAGGAAACAACACCCTCCGGACAGTTTTCTTTCTCCTCTGCACACACATCCCCTTTTTATACCCAGTGCCAGCGGTTACTGCCGCACAGTTTCCCCTCGGCCTGATGTAAAACGAAAGGAACTTTTCCCCTCCCAGCCTTCCCCCTGATTACACCACCTGGGCACCACCAACGGTGGATTCCAGAGGAACTTCAGAACACCCGGGTCTTCTAACCTGATTGGTTACGTTCAGTAAAAAAAAAATCCAAACTTCACTTCTGAGTCCCCCAGTGGTGTGACAAACAAGCAAAATCACCGCCTTTCCCCGTAGAAGTATAACGCTCCCAATCCCTTAATCCTCGTGCAGAGGTGGCGGGCGGAGGCCGAACCTGAACCTCCCTCCCAGCCCTGGGCCCTGAGCTTAACCTGGGGAAGATCTCTGCGGGGACTGCTCCAACCCAGCGCGGACTCCAGGGAGAGACGCGGCCGTGGACGGGGAGCAGGTGGGGGCCGGGGAAGAGCGTGAGCGCGCGGGACCCGTCGGAAGCCCGAGGGTGCAAACTCAGCAGGTCCTTCCTGCGTCTTGCTCGTCCCCCCGGGAGGCGGCAAGCACGACGAGGCCGCCCAAACCCTCAGGGACCACGGCGGCATCCGCAGAAGCCGGGGCTGGGGGCGGCGGCGTCGGTCCCCGGGTCTCGTCCCCGCCCGGTTCCCGGTCCTCCCGAGGGCAGCACTCACGTATCTCTGCACGAGCGTCCGCACGAGGCTGCAGTCCATGGCTCCTCCGGCCGCGCCTGCCCGCGCTCAGCGGCCCCGCGCCCGGCTCAGCGCGCCCATGGGCCCGGGCTGGAGTGTGGCCGCGCGCCCCCGCCCGGGTCACGGCCTGGGCGCGCCGGGAGGTGCGGGGGGCGGCCGCGGCCCCTCAGCGCTCATGCCCGGCCCGGCCCGCGGCGGCCGGCGCGGCGGTGGCTGCTCCGCGGTAGAGGCTTCGCTGCTGGCGGTGTGTCCGCGGGCTGGGAGCGGTACGGCCCGGGCAGGTCGTGCTGCTGCTCTGCTGCTCAGCGCAGCTCCTCTGCTCCGCCCTCCTCCCCTCTCCTCCCCTCCCCTCCGCCCGCCGCACCTCTCAGCCCTGCCTCCGGCTGCCCGGTCCCGGCGCGCACGTCACTAGCGCGTCTGAGCATGCGCCCCGCGGCCCGCGCCCCCGCCCCGGCTCCGTTGCCTTAACACACTTAGGCTCGCGCGGCTGCGGTCATTCCGCCCTCCTTCACTTTGCCCGCAGCCTCGAAGAGGCGAGAAGAGAACCCTGGGACGGAGGGCAGAGGGCGAAGGACCGCAGCTGGGGACAACTCCCTGTTGCTTCCGACTCAGGGCGACTGTGTTCCCCGCACAGGGGCCGGGGTGACTGGGACTGAGCGCTCTGCCAGGAGGAATCAGGGCGCGGGGACTTTGTGCCCTGCGGGAGCCCCCGTCAGTCAGCGTGCTGAGTCTCTCACTTCGACCCGAAACTTCAGTCTTTCCCCCAAAGGCCCAACAGTGGGAGGGAGATCATAGGGGTACTGGAAGGGTGCTCACGGGGCGAGGAGGTTGAGGACCCTTTCATCAGGGTCGGGGTTGCGCCCCCGTGGGAGTCCAGCCCCCACGTATGGCCTCTCCCGCTTTGCAGGTTAAGAGAGGGCAGAGGTGTGCCTCAAGTGGCTGCCCAGGGTCGCGCAGCTTTTCTGCTCTGGGGCGAAGGTAAGCACAGAGCAGAAACGGGATCCTTGCTCCTTTTAAAAATACAATCCCTAGCCCTGGCCTTCCACCCTAGGTCTTCAGAGCTGTAACAGTCGCAGATACTTGTAATGCAGCGGGAGTGAGGGGTTGGAGTCAGCCTTAGAACCTGTTACACCAGCCGCCATCCCCAGCGGGTTGCCCTCTCCTGGTCCTGCCCGTCCAGCTCCTTTCTTCGCCCAGGCTTGGCCTGAGTCTGCCACCAGGAGGCCAAGCCCGGCCCAGGCGATGTGGGGGTGGGGGGGTGGGGGGAGCAGTTCCTGGCTTACTCGGCCACCAAGTCCTAGGGAGGGGGGCGGGACACACACTTGGCGCAGCTAGCTCTGAACCAGGCAGGAGAACTGTTGCATCGCACAAACACTACTATTTCAATCCTAGGGAATGTTTCTGTTTTCCCAACAGCGAAACAAATTATCTCCTTAACTACACAATCAGCCTTGAATTAATTGGTATACTTTGTTTCCAACTTCCCTTCTCCTGGTCACAAGTCATCATTTGTGAAACTGTCAGGCACAACACACCTTTAGCAGCCTTTAAGGAGCACTGCCCCTGACAGTAGCAGGTTTGCAATTGAACGTGAATGTTCCCCTGACTGGCTGAGGGAGAGAAGCAGTATTGGACACTTTTTGGATTAGACACAGACTAGAGAGGAGTTCTAGTGAATGCTAATTGTCACTGAACTATCTGGATTCTGAACTACTTTCTTTCATAAAATGCTCCAATTGTTGGTCAGCTAATTCACTGATTCCTCACTTGCTATCCAAATATACTCTCTGCCTTCTCTGTCCTGCTCTGCACCCAAGAGACCTGTGGCCATCATCACTGGCTCTTTACCAAAAGGGGTGCTAGCTGCAGCCTGGAGACCAAGGAGAGAGAAAGGCAGGTGCATTTCTTCCCTCCTCTCTGTCCCGGCTGCACCCTGGGCCTGGCAGTATCTGTGTGCCTCTGTGACAACTGTCCTGTTGGGCTTCCTTTTCCATTGCATCAATTCATGTCAGGCTCCAAGAACTCAGTTCTCTCCCCCATACCCCTTCAGGCTTGGCAGTGGTGGTGTCTGCCTCCCGCTGCTGCTGGCCCCTGGGTAACAGTACCCTTTGATGTGTTGTTGAACCATAACCACACTACAGCAAATAGCCACTTCATCACACTCTCTTCCAAATCTCCCAAGAATGACTCCTGTCTCCAGCCAGAACCCTGAATGCTAGAGCTGGATTTTGACTAGCCTTCTACCTTTGTAAACTGTGACATTTGGATGGGGAGTGGAAGGGCACAAGATTTTACTTAAGGCTGCTGGACACAGGCTGCTTGTCTCTCAGGACTGTCTGTTTCATTCAATGGCGAATGTTAATTTCATATTGTAGTAGATACCATGGCTGCCAGTGCAGCAACCATGCCATCTTTTTCCTTGCTGGTAGAAACCCACCTTGGTCTGGCTATCCACACTCCAGATGGCTGGTATAAAGTGGTTCATGTAAGCTAATCTTGGTAACTCCGTTTTTCTTCCCATAATTGGTTTACAATAGGTTTCAGCCAAGTTTCCTCACTCTTAAAAAGTCACATAAAGAAGAAATACTCCTTGTTTCCTGTTGGATGTGATGTCTGGCTTTTTGCAGCCTTCTTGCATTTGCAACAGGAAGTAGCCTGAGGAACTTCCTCACTCTGGGGATGGCAGCGTGGAAAGGTGGGAAGAGCATGGTCCTTAATGACACCACTGAGCCATTAACCAGTCCTACTGTGGCCCTAACATGGAATTGCATATCATGAAAGATAATAAATATCCTTATTAAGTTGGATTTTTAGTTACTAGTGACTGACAGCGTTTTAATTTTAAACCTATGGAAACAAACCAGTTAAGACTCTCTTAAAGCAACAAAAAATCCAACTCACCCTGCGAACCAGTTATTTCTGTATAACAAACCACCACCAACTGGGGAGCTTAAACAGCATGAGTTATTATTTGTCAGGACTCTGGGGTTTGGTGGAATGGTTCTTCTACTCCACCTGGTATGGCTGCCATTGTTCATGCATCTGCATTCTTTGGGGGGCTCAGCTGAGCCTGGAAGGTTCAGATGGCTTCGGTCACATGCCTAGTGTCTCAGCAGGGTGGATGGGAAGCTGGGAGAGGACTGCCCTCTCTCTCCACATGGTTTCTCATGGCTTAGTGGTCTAGACTAAGCTGCTTTCCATGGCAGCGGGATCCCAAAAGGGTCAAGGTAAACATGATACCACCTTAAAAACTTGGGCTTGGACGTCCTGGAACATCACTTCTGTCAAATTCTATTGGGAAAATTAAGTTCCAAGGCCAGCCCAGATTCAACGGGAGGGGGCAGGACAGATTTCACTTCTTGGTGGGACGAGCACCTTGTACATAAAGGGATGAAGAATTTATTAGTGGGCACCTATGTAAATAATGTACCATACGCAAACAATAATGGAATGTGTTGGTGCAGTGTTGGAATATGTCGACAATATCACAGTAAGTTCAAAGTGCAATGGCTGCCAGAAATGCCAGGGTTTCCATGTCTCTTCATTCACTTCCAAAGGGAAAGAGAATTTTCACTCTGAAAGAGCTAAGTCCTGTGCTCACTCCTGGTCAATCAGTCACTAAGCTTTGGAACGCCATCGGATGACTGCCTGAGGCCTGGTTTGAGTGGAAATCTTTGATGAGTAAATGTCTAAGAGGAATGGAATGATCTAAATCAGCTTTGGGTCAAGATCACTATGGCTGCTTCACCACTGGGGACTGATGTGATAAATCAGGAGGAGGAGGAGGCACCAGACAGAATACAAATCCCAAAGCTTGAATGAAATTGCAGGTCTGCAGCTGGACGCTCAGGCTACACACACACTCACACCTGCGCAGACTCATAAACACCTGCTGTCCCCTCCTCCCCTGCACCTCAGAGGAGACCAGGGTGGAAACCAGAAATCTTGGATTCATTTTCTTGTAAGGGAGGGCCAAAAAGTGAAGCCTTCTTCCAAAGACAGTTCAAAAACAGTTACCGTTACTGGGCTCTCAAATGACAGAACTGAAGCTGTCATTGATTACTGGAAACAAAAAACAGGAGAGTGTGAGCTATTAACATGTTTCATTTTCAGGTAGCGGGAAGAGCAACTACTGTACATTAGGGGGCTTGGCCTCCTCAGGTGGGCAGTCTTGCTCCTCCGAGCTGCTGGAGCATTCTGTACACCTTTCTCAGGTCACTGTTACAACAGGTTCGGAATTCTGTGGGTGCCATCTTCCCACGACTGGTTCTAGAATTCTTCAATGGCAGAAATTCTACTTCCTGTACCTCCCACAGGCTACCCTCGCACCCTGGCCTCCCTTCTGTCTGGAATCTTCAGCCCCACTCCTCACTCGTCTCACAACACCCTCCTCATCCTTCAAGGCACACTTGTCCCTCTGTCCTCCTCCGTTCTGTCTCAGTTGTAGTTACTCCCCCACTTAGCACTCTCAATGCACCACTCAGTGTCGCTAATTTACCTTAAACAGTATTTCTAAAACCTGATTGTTGGTTAAAATCACCCAAGGAGGGAAAATAAATCAATCACCCAGAGAGAATTTTTTTTAAATAGCAATTTCCCTGGACCCCTCTTGCCAGCCCAGACATTTTTTGTTCAGTCAGTCTAGAGTGGGGTCCAAGCACCCGTGTGTTTGCAAAGCTCCCAGATGCAGATTTTGAGACCCGCTAATCTAAATGTCTGTGCCTGTCCTTGAGCGTGATCTTGGGGATGACTTCATTAACTGACTCCCTTTTCTCTTCCCAGGGCATAGCACACAGCCCCTTGCACCCCTAATAGATGCTCAGTAAATAGAGAAAGAATTCAATGGACCTAAACTGCTATTTCATCCACGAAGCATTATTATGATAGAATAAAGGGAGTACATGAAGTCTTAGCATGTGCAGAGAGAAACGGTGTACAGTCAGAGAAGTCAGGGAACGGATACCTGTGATCCGCAGGAATGCTGTGGGGAGCCCCGTCCTGGGTGAGGAAGGTCACTGGGGTTATCTCTCTCTGCCAGGCTCCGCAGGCCCGGTTCTGCTGGAATGTGATCAGGAAACCTTGCCTCCCATGCCTGGGAGGAGCTTGTGGGACAGCGCCTCTGAGTTACCTTTGGATGTCTAGATTACCTTGGTCATTGTCCAGGTGTTGAAAAATGGAGTTAACATTTCGTTATCATTCTTAATCCAAAGTATGTGAAGCACAAGTGGCAGTCACAAACAATTTGCAAGGTTCAGTCTTTCAGGTGAGGTCGGCGTGAGCTCTACTGTGAAAACTGTCACCAAACCCTGCAATTCCAGGTC